TGTAGCTAATCCTTTTATTAATAGTGAATATATTGTTTATTACCTCTAAATAGTCGAAATAATAACGATAAATATAAATATACCTATATATAAATATTTTTTTTATTTGGGAGCAATAAACTTTTTCTCAGTGTTACAGTTACATCTATAGATGTAACTACTCCACATAGATCCAACCATTTGATTCAAATGTGCGACATTTTCGGCGTAAAAAGTCTTACTTTATCAGTGTGGTCTTGGCACAATTTTTTTTTATTTCCAGTTTAAATTTATATAGAAAAAATATAAACGAATACGTATTTAATTGCAAATAATTTTTGTATTCATACATAGGTACTTTTACCACGAGAGAAACGAGACGAGACGAGAGAAAGGCACTTTTGAGCGAGAAAAGAGTATTCTCGACGAGACGAGAGACCCATTTTCTCTCGCTGCACGAGACGAGACGAGAGAAGGACTTTTCTCGTCTCGTCTCGTCTCGCGGCATCACTATTTAGTATAGTGTAAACTCATACATCGTTTTAAAAAAATACCAGCGCTTTTTGTAAATTAATTCTGATTTTAAAGGTTTTCAATAATTTTAAATAAATTAAATTTTAAATAATACAAACTCCAATTAATGAGTAAATTTATTAACTGGCAGAATTGACATTTGCACAAATAAGTCACCAATTAAAAGATGTCGAATCATGGCACTCTTATACAAAATATCACGTCACCCGCGGCGGGTGACCCGTCACATGCACTAATACGTTTGAATATTACGCGCTTGACAGTCCTGTCACGCGCTCGAAAATGTTTAATATCTTCCGATCCAAAAGAGTCTCCACTGTTATGAAAAATGTATTTTGTAGATAAAGAAAAAGCGCATAAAATAGTATTTTTTTCCTTTTATTTTATAGAGGGGGCAAACATGAAAAACTAGTTTAAAAATTAATCTGTTATTAACTCCCTATACCAAAAAAAAAAAAAATTTAATTTATTTATTTGAAAAGCCTATTCAATAAGGTTTAAAACAAAAAAAAAACCAAAATCGATCCGATCAGTAGAACCGGAGATAATGGGTTTTATGTAGAAGAGAATTTATCGTTTTATCGCAATTCATAAAAACTTTATATCAACATATCTTTGAAAACACAATTTTTTTACAGAAAACCTGATACACGTATCTGCTTATTTACTGAATAGAAGCGGTAAAAAAATTTTCATGCGAATCCAAACCCTGATGTCAAAATAGGTGTACGATTTGTAAAAGAATGTCTCCTATATGAAGGGTGATATCTGAATCGTACACTGAGAAAAAAATGGGACAAATAAACTGTTTACCTAATACTCTTATTTGTAGTGAATATATTGTTTATTACCTCTAAATAGTCGAAATAATAACGATAAATATACTTTAGTAAAACTTTATATGTCAGGAATAAAAATATATTTAGGATAAATAAACTGTACCCTTGTCCCATATTTAAATATTTTTTTTATTTGGGAGCAATAAACTTTTTTCTCCGTGTATCCGCGAACATCAGCTGACGTACACGAAACGGACATCAGGCTGACAATTCCATGTAACGCTTGGTTGATATTTGGCTGATATTTAGGTATTGCAGATGTCAGTGTAATGTTCTGTCTGGAATATTAGGCTGATGTCCTTTGATGATATTAGTGTGATATTTTTCAGAAATATCAGGCTTATATTTATTGCAGATGTCAGTGTGAAGTTTCTTTGCAATATCAGGCTGATATTTATCGCAAATGTCAGTATGATATTTTAATGGTTAGGTAAAAATATAGCAAAAAGAAACGCAAAGCTATAGCTGCAGGCACAAGAAAATACAAAAGTCAAATTTATAAGTGACTTTTGTATTTTCTAGCATCTGCATCTATAGCTTTGGTTTCTGTTTGCTATATTTATAAATGCAAATGTTAAAAAGTAAAACATTTAATAAAAATAAAATTGAACTCCTTACAAAAAAAAAATAGTATATCCTAGGTACAGTCTTATCCAAAGGTAGTTCTGGAATTGCTCGCCTTCGCAAAATTTGCAACAGGTTTGTTACTAGGGTTTTAGGAATTTGTAGAGCCCAATTTCTCAAATCTTTAATGTCATCTGGTTTCTCTACATTGGGGAATATTCCATCATTTAAATTTGCTACATCTGCATTGTCCTCATCAACCTCGTCTTCCTCATTCTCACTATTTCTGTCCTCCTCATCATAACTATAATACTCATTATCGGGATGTTGGTTTTCTTCATTTAAAATATCATTGTTTAGGACGAGGTTGTTGGTTTCTTCATTTTCAACCAAGTCAGGATATTCCCCAATTTCTTGTATTTCATTTAAAATGTCCTGGCCTTCATTTTCTTCTTGATTTACATGGCCATTGAGTGGATTATTTTCCGGATCGATAATATTTTCCACTTGTCCAATATGCAATATAGCATTAGCCCTATCGTTTATTCGGGCTAACACATTTTGCATAACTTAAGTTAACAATTGTTGAACTTGGTCTATAGATGCCAACTTTGCTTTTTTAGGAGCCCGACATTTAAAAACGCGTTTTCTTTCCATAGAATATTAATAAATTACCAACAATAACAATTGTTATAAATTAATTTATTGTTGCAATTGCAATAGCCTGAATAGACGCCTGAATAGTACTGTCGATATATCGACACTGATCAATGTGACATTTGATTGTTTGTTTACAAACTTAAATCGGAAACCACACTGATCTTTGTCAGTAGATTGTTTGCTTACAAACTCAAATCGAATGTAATACTCATATTCGTCAGTGAATTGTTCGTGTACAAGCTGAAATCTGATATTACACTGATATTCGTCAGTGGATTGTTCGTGTACAAGCTGAAATCGGATATTACACTGATATTCGTCAGTGGATTGTTCGTGTACAAGCTGAAATCGGATATTACACTGATATTCGTCAGTGAATTGTTCGTTTAAAAACTCAAATATGACATCACCCTGACATTTGAGATGCAATTCGCTCGGGTATGTAATAATACGGTTAAATAAGTCATGACGTCACAGTTAATTCATATAACCATGGTTAGGTAACCTAACTTAGGTTTCTAACATTTGACATTTGTTTACTTGTTCATAACCTATAATTTTTAAAATGTGTTTTTACCTATTTATATTTAATTTCTATGCTTTTACCGGTGTAAATAAATTTCTTTGCCTCTTCTTATACCTATATAGTTTTTTCAGTGCACGTTATCCAATTCTCCTACATGTTTAATACAAAATAGGAAAGAATATAAAACAAACCTGCATATAATTCCTCCACTTGTGGAGAGTCCACAATATGGAGCACCCTATCATTTATTTTTACTGACAACACCCCGTTTACCATTTTAATACAAAGTTTAAATTCGGTTTAAGAGCAATTGTACCTACTTAAAATATTTTAAATTTCAAATGTAAACAACTTTTTGACAGATCGAAACAAAAAAATATATATTAAAAAGAGAAAGACTATTAACCACGTTGAATAACTAGCTCAGCGATATAGTTTTATGGTCTGGTATTTGTGACGTCATAGTTAGAATTTTTGAACGCACTCTAAACGCAAAAATGCCTTAACTATTAACCAAGGTTAAGTTTAATAACCATAGTATTTCATGGTATTTACGCGAAAAAACGACTTTAATTTCTTTGGACATACAGTAATTATAATTACTATACTACTATACCTATATCATAGGCTATAGCCTATATTTATATGTAAGTATAATCCCTTCAGGGTTTTCTGTGGTATAATAGGTAGTTCACGTTTAGTGAATTAAACTTCTAAGGAATTCATCATTATTAATAACACTGGTCGAAAAAATTTAATTTAATAACTGTTCTAGCGTTTAGTTTAGGCATTTTTAAACTGACTATGTTGGCACACTGCATAAAACCATAAAATAACCACAATCCACACAACAAGGTCTGTTCTATCTCATGCTAAAAATACAAAAAATCACTGCAACACTGCACAGAGTTTAACGGCGGCCATTTTTGTTGTTTACAATTCTTGTGCTTTGGGTTTGTGCTGTTTAATAATTGTTTTAAACGTTGTGTTTCTTACAGAGGCACTTGTATACAAGGCTTATAAGCCTCAAATAAGGCCTTTAAGTGCTAAGGACAACCATTTTACTCCTCTTTTATAATAAATATACCTTATTCTATCAGGGCTGTCAAATGACGATTTGAAGGTTAATTTGTGGGTTATAATTTAACCTTAAAATTGAAATTTGACAGTTTTATGACAGCCCTGATAGAATAAAGTTTATTTTTTACAATAGAGGAGTAAAATGGTTGTTCTTAGCACTTTAAGGCCTCTTTTAAGGCTTACTATGAGAAACACAAAGTTTAAAACGATTATTAATCTGTATAAACAGAGCACAAACCTAAAGCACAAAAATTGTAAACAACAAAAATGGCCGCCGTTAACCTGTGCAGTGTTGCAGTGATTTTTTGTATTTTTAGTACGAGATAGAACAGACCTTGTTGTGTGGATTGTAAAAATAACTATATTTCTACTAGACACGTTATTTTGAACGACTTAACATCAAAATCTAAACTTCCTTTATGGACAACTAACCTTACTTCCGGTAATCACTATCGTTGCAGATTTATACGAAATTATGATGTTCAAAATTCCGTGTCCGCCACTGTACCTGGTCATAAAAAAAACAAAGTACTTTAAAAGTTTACAAACTTACATTTTTTTATTATTATTTTAACTCTAAAATAATAAAAATAGCTTAATTTGGTTAATTAAACAAATATTATTGACATTTAATAACGCAAGTGATACATGGGCGACTTAAAATAGTATAGGAGTAAAAAAGGAATATGTAATTCAAACATAAAATTAAAAAAAAATTATGTGTGTACTTATATTATATAGCAATGATAATAGTGTCTTATAAGATACAAAGAATCTTATAGATTTTAAAATATTAAGAAAACACAGTTTTTTAACTTTCTACATTTATTATTGCATCATTTTCTACATACTCGAAATATTTTAACACTATAAATATTTCGTTATTAATTTCTACATTTTAATATATCTCATTTTGGTAATTGTAAGTACACAAATTATACAAGTAATGTTTATTTTAAACTTTCAATCAACAAGGAAGTTTAAAACAATCAATGCATAAATAATTATGTGCATTACTAAATAATTGAATCATAGAGAGCTCTTCCTAAAATCTATATTTACACATATAATCTTATATACATATAGTAAGGCATAAATTTAAATTTGTTTTCAACGATATCACATAGAATTTATAGAAATATTTTATATTATATAATCCTTAAATTTCATCCAGGGCACCTCCTGTCAATTTCGCTGCATACAAGCTAACAACCTAAAAAGAAAAAAAACGAATTAAAAATTATGTAAGTTCGTTTTTTTATCCGGAATTATACTTTGGTATTTTTAGTATTTTTAATATTTAAAATTTGTACTCCTGTTTAAGCTCTGAAGCTTAATTTTCATGTATCCGTTTGTCCGTTAGTCCGTTCATGCGGGAGCGCTCTTATTGGTCCAATTATAATTGGAAAATTATGACATTTTATCGGTCCCTCAAGTTTCAACTTCGTACGTCTGACAGAGAAAGGTTATAGTTATTTACGATATAAGTGGGATAAAAGCTTTATTAACGTACGCATGCGAAAGTACGTTAATAAAGCGTTATCAAAAGTACGTTAATAAAGCGTTATCACACGTATATTGTACAAATTTTTATGTACGCCTCTAAATAAAAAAATAAACGGTAATTATTTTTGTCTAAGACTTAATTTAGGGTTATTTTGACATTTTGACTTTTTTATTTGATTGGTTAAAAGCAGAGAAAAACGCGTGCGTTAATGACCTTCTTATCTCACTCAAAATGAGTGGGATTAGAAGTTCTTATCTCACTGGCGTAGATAAAATTATTTTATCTACGCCAGTGGGATAAGAACTTCTTTGTTTGTCATTTAAGTGTCTAAATTATAATAAATATACATGTGTATTTGTATGCTGGGAAGTCACCTTTATTTCATCAAAGGTAAATTTATTATTATTTGACATTTCAAATTTTTTAAACATATTCTTATAATAATTATTATAACATAACCAAAATTAATTTCAAGGTACCACAGTTATAAATTTAGGGTACCTAGAATTTCCCAAATATAAGCGAACACAGAAAAAAACAATCTTAAATTCCCTTTTAAAAAATTTGAAGTTTATTGTGCTGTATTAGAAAGAACACCTAGGGAATGGTCTGCTTGTTTTCGTTCTAAAAATTTTGATGTCAAAGATTAATTTTAAACTTAAAACAATTGAGCCCTAAACCTACATAAAATTAACAATTGTGGTCTTGACATAACTTTGATGTTAAACTGTACATGTTAAAATAGTCACAGAAAATAAACAAGCTTTAGCTAGCTAATAAGTTAAGACGTCTAACTTATGACCACCACCAACAAATTTAAGTAAAATGTACTGTATTAACCCAAGCAGCATTTTTGGTTCCAAAAACTATTACCAAAGTGGTGATAACTTTAAGTTTACTAAACAGCTACTTTAATTTTTAAATAAAAGTAATTCTAACTTTTAAATAGAAATATTTTGTAACAGAAACTTCATTCTTTCCTTAAATGGTTACTATAAAGTAATAAACATTTAAATAAAACTTGGTTACTGCCTACCTAAAGATTACATAATAATTATTTTTACTTTGTAGCAGGGACCCGGACCGAAATGAAATATCGGTTCCGGTACGGTTTTGGTTCACCCTATATTCGTTTTAATGGTTCCGATTCCGGTTTCGGTTTCGTGGAGTTATAACGGTTCGGTTCTTTTCGGTTTTAAGCGGTTCCAGTGAGGTTATTTGTTTTACGTAATTTTAATCTATAACCTAATATGTTATATAATGTTATTAGAATGAAAGCAAATAAAGGTTTCGGTTCCGGTCCAACAGATTTTATCAAAAGCGAAAACGGTTCCGGTTCGGGTTTCGGTTCGGAAAAAAAACCGGTTCCGTTCCGGTTTTCGGTTTTTTTCGGTTTCGGTCCGGGTCCCTGCTTTGTAGTCCCTTTGCAAGTTAAAATCTCTAAACTGGAACATGAGTTAAAAACTACAAAGTTAATAACTTAAAAGTTATTAATTTAGTATTTGGAACGTTTATGGTACTAACCAAAACTACCGTAAAGTAAATTAAGGTGGAAGTAGCGAAAACTACTTCAAAGGAAACTGCTTCTGATCTGCCATTTTTTACTGTACAGTACCACGTGGTAATGTAAATAATAAATTATTTTAATTGTTTGTAAATGGTTGTTTACTTTTTAATAAATAGTAATTTTGTTGGTAATAGACGGTATTAATAATTAAATAAAAAATTAATTATAAATATTAAGATTTTTTTATTTTTTTAAGGGTTTATAAATTTACCTGTCTAATTAAACATTATATTGTTATTCTGGAAGTTATAAACTACCAGTACATATTTAATAAACGAGGACATTGAAAAGCCAAGTCCGTAGTGGTTCCATTTAAATAAGGATGGATAGTATCTAATCTAATCTAACATAAGTTTGACAAAGACAGTTAATATAGAAGTAAAAACAAACAAATAAAAGTAATTATAACGCTCTAGCAACGATATTGAAACGTTCTAGTAACGTAGCAGCTACGTTCCAAAAAGTAGCAGGGTTTATGCTAGTGACATATTTGCTACATTTTGCTACCTCAATAATTGTTCCCGTCGCAAAACACTTTAAAGTTTCTTCAATAGTCCCATATACGTAACAATTACTTAAATTGTTGCTTGGGATTATCAAGTTTTATTAACGCTTAAAATATTTATATATATTTATATTATTAAATGTTTTAGTTACCTTATAAATGAATTGATATTGTTCCTTGGTTTGTACTGAACTAGCGCGGTCCCTTCTTATCCTGTACACAATTTTCGGTATGTCCACCAATCGAGTCTTCTCGAACTCCCTAATTGCAATATCACAAGCTATCACTACACCTGTACGTCCTGTTCCGGGACTACAGTGCACCACCACAGGACTTACGTCAGTATGGGTCGAACCGTTTGAAATTCCGTTAACACCATTTTTCTAAAATGAAAAAACTTTTAAATTAAACAAATCAATACCTAATTATGACAAAAACCCAGGTCCACAAAATTTTTAAACTCAATTTAAATTTCTCCATCACATCAAGTACTGAGAAATCCTTCAAAAGTGTAAAACACAATATTTTAATTTTTTTTCACTCGCTAGTTTCTCCATTTCCCTTCACTATGTTCTATTCAAAAAATCATAAGTTGATTTATGATCTTGTTTGGATTTAATTGAAGGAAAGATAACTTGGAAAATTTAAAATAATATTTTATGTATCAAGTTTGATAAACGCCATTTTATACACGAATTTAATTTAGGCACGAGCGAGCTAGCGAGCGAGTTCTTAAATTAATGAGTGTATAGAAAAGTTTATAAACGAGGTGCATACTAGTATAGCTATACTTTTTCTATGACAAGTACTTATCCTTATTATACTTATCTTAAAATGATTTAAATCAAATATTTTTATAGAGCGCCATCTATAAAACAATAACACAATCTGTGTTATCGTCAAATGTGAAATTTATAAACACAGATTATAAAGGTTATAAATCGAAATGTATTTCTTGAAAATGGACAGTTTTTTACAGTGAAAGTAAAGAAAATGTTTGATGAGGCTGAAGTTAGCAACAGGTTTTTAGTCACGGGCTGAAGTTAGTTTAAACTAAATTTAAGTTAGTTGACAGTTGTCAAATGTCATACAATCGTTAAAATAAAGTGCCTTTCTTGTAAAATAAAACTAAATGCAAAAAAACGAAAGTATTAAAATAGTTTCTCAACGCCAATATTTCAAAAGTTTATATGAACATTGTACTGACTTTTTAATTTCGCCGGCAGTAAACTATAACTTAAATTCGGGCACGGACTCATAAAACATTTTCTTTACTTTCTCTGTAAAAAACTGTCAATTTTCAAGAAATACATTTCGATTTATAAATCGAAATAATAATAATAAGGTTATAACCTTTATAATCTGTGTTAAATTTGACATTTGACGGTAAGTAAGAAAGGTTTAATTTAGTGAACTTGTGTATTACGCAGTGTTTAATTACATACGAAGTATAAAATAATGTACAACATAATTAAAATAATAAATATACATAAGTAATTGCAATCCATAACTCTACTATTATTATAGCAAACATAAGACGTTCTTAGCATAAAAAATGTTTAAAAAAACCTAACTAACTAAAGTTTTATGTTGATGTCATTAAATAAATGTCAAATAATAAATCATTTCAATGACTGTGATGGTTTCGAAAAAAAAAATGGTAGTCAATATTTCTATGTTTTAAAAATAAAAAGTTAATACAAATTTGTTTATTACAAAGTTATTATTATTTAGAGTTTTATTTTTTGGCAAAAACTTTCAGAAAATACATACATTAACCATGTTAACGTTAGTTGCCATATTTGAAATGTACATTCATTTCTATAAAAAATAATATCTTTACTTTAATTTATTCTATCTACTCCTACATTGAATTACTATATTTGGCTTGGCTCAAATAAATTATTTCTTTCGATATCTACAAGAAGATATTTATTTAGTGGAAAACTTGGGTTTATTTGACTTTTTAAACTGATATTTGGATAATAAATATAAATATCTAGTTGACTTCTAATCTCAGGTTTAGTTAGTAAAAGCTTACTTAAAGAAACAAAACCTACATCCAAACAATTTAATTAATTGCTCTAAATAAATATTTCTTTACAATTAATCACAACAATAAGTTGTTTTCAAGAAACTTATGATTTACAACCAAATAATAGTATTTTCTTATTATAAACAACAAGTTAAGAAAATTTTACTTCATACAAGAAAACCTGTTTCAAATAAATGTATTTTCTTAAATCAAGAGATGAATTTTCTCTGTGTATACACTATAGCTATGCAAAAACAGCTATTGTTATATTTTAGCTTACCAGTGTTGCCAAAATTTTAAAAGTTAAATGCCTAATAAATCGAAAACTACATAGTACGCTATTTTCGGGACACACTGTATGAAGTATGTATTGGGTTATGAATTGTATGTATTATTGTTCTCCAGAATGTTTTTTTGCTCTTAATATGACATGGAAGTTGTATCTACATGGTTTTATTAAAAATATAGAAAACTTACATATTTATAATATATTATAGGAATATTTTTAGTAATCTAAAAAGTTATGAAAAATTATTGCAAAGAGTGGTGTTACTTAAGTAGGTACAATAAATTTAACAGAGGATTCTTTGATTGATTTTAAGACAAAAAGTTCATATAAACATGGGTCCTCAATTGTTTTGTTTTCAAAGTTAAACTTTTTTTAATTGGTTTTTCGTAAATATTCTTTACCCAATTTTGTTGTAATTTGGCAGTGTTATTTGTAGTGTTAAGGATATAATTAAGCGGCACCTTAACAAATATTTTTGAAAATAATGTAGGCCACCGACTTTTTGTATTTTTTATATTTTTTTCGGATTAAGCAGCTAAAAATACTACTATTTTGTCTCATAAAATCTCCTTAAATGCATATCCCTGGAAGTGGATTTTAATATTTTTCTCTAAAATTTGGTAAAATACGAACAAAATTCAGGAAACAAAAAAATTTAATTTTAAACACCTTGTATCTTGAAAATAAAGCATTTGCGGACCCATGTTTATATGAACTTTTTGTCTTAAAATCACCCAAAGAATCGTCTGCTAAATTTATTGTACTTATTTTTGTTTTATTTCTTACCTTATCAATGGTGGTAGTTTTCATGTAACTCCTAGCCTCAATGAGAAAAGCAATAATAGAGTTACTTTCTTTTGGTACACCTTTTTCAGGCCAGCCCAGGTACCAGAAATGGGTTACTTCTCTCCAGCTATTCGATACCATATTCTGCAAATAAATGCGGTTTTATAAAATTTATTGCGTGTATTATTATACATACCTTAAGTTGGATACTGGATATGATATATTTATCCTTAACTTCTCGTTTTTTTAAAGTTACTTGAAAATCACCAAAAAGTCTGTGACAGTCGAGAACTTCTGATGGAGGAAGGTAGTCCACACATTTTTCCTAGAAAGAACGATAAAAATCAAAAGAAAAACGAAAAACCAAAAGACAAAAAATTATAAATAACCTTTAAATATCATAAAAAATTTCAATTTGTAAAAATATATAATATATTTTCTGTTTTTAAATTAATTTCAAAATAGTGCAGATGCATTTTTATAGATAGATCATATATACAGGGCACTTTAAATAAATTTCTTGATTAATCTAGTAACCACAATGTGCTAGTAACTAGATTCTAGTTTTACTCTTAATCTTTTCCTATGGTTTTACCAAGTAAAAACGGCAATTGAGTAAAGTGAGTTCAACTTTAAAATCTCAGTTTCTGCAATTATGAAAAAACACATTATTTTTTTACTCACCACTCCATTTTCAAAAAGTTGCGTCAACATTAAAATTACTTTGGACTGTTGTTCCCAAACCATTCTCCAAAAATCATCCACTGTGTTTGCCATGGGTCCTTGACAAGCTATGTAATATCCTTTTGTATTTTTAGGACCCTAAAAACAAAACAATAATACTACTTAAATTTTCTTTAATTGTTTAAAGAATTTAAAATTTAATTTTTTAAAGAGTTTAAAATGATACCATACTAGTTAAAAATAACTTTGTTTATTTATTTAAAAAAATTAATTAATTAAATTATTAAACAAGAAAATCTAATTTTGACTAAAATTACTTCATATTTTATGTAATTAAAATAATTTAATTTACGAAATAAAATTCTGACCTCAAAAATACCTAATTTTTAGAAACCACAAAATAATGTTAGTAAATACACGTGCTGTTAACGTTACACAACACAAATAATTACTCCAACTACCTAATAGATGTTTTCAATTAAGTAAATACATTAAAGTTATGTAATCGATTAATACATTGTGTTTTAAAATTAGATGGTAATTCAATTTTCACCATTTTTTAAGATTTAGTTTGGTATAAGGGCGAATTTTCGTTAAATGTACATTTTGTATATATATTTTGTCCAGGCAGGTCAATTTGATCGATTTTTTTTCCTTTGTGATAGAACAGTGTAATATACTGCAAAAAATTCTATAAGTTTATAAATAACAAAAATAAACTTTAAAGAAATTATATCTTATAGAGTTAATCTGAAATAGGGAAGGAACACAAGGAAGAAATTAAACATTGTCCTCCTCCTAACGCATCTTCCTGAACGTTTATGACACATTGCTTTTGACTTTTTCAAACGTTATTTTTCAGAAATACTGTTAAATGTAAATATCTTTCGGCATTTGTTTTTTAATTTCTACTATGCTATAATACAAAATGAAAATAAAAAAACTAACTTCTAAAACAAGAGTTGAATGTAGCGTTTTGTAAAAGACACCAAAAGTGTACGCAAAAAAATCTTACCTTTAAAATATTTACAAAAAAATTCACACACTTTACACGTGTTTACTTGTTGCCGAACTATCAAACATGTATGCCCTCTAGAAATAACACGATAGTATCTCTATCTCGTGTCTCTATTTCGAAGCAGTCGGCATAGAAGACGACGTTAGGAAAAAGACAAGATTTTTGAATGTCAACTTTAACATTTTTTTCTGTTTAATCTACTTTGTAGAAAACTATTTTATTTTTATATAAGAATAAAAGAACTTTTCATTGTTCAAAAATAATTTATTTTTTCAGAAGAAACCTGCAAAGAAGAAGAATATAATAATTTAAATTAAAAAATCGCCTCTGGGGACAGTTAGGTTACAGGACATTTCACCTAGTTTTTCTGCCATATATAGAAACATAAAGTAATTAAAAAAAAATACGATGGGTCCTAACAGGAAGGGGGTATTTAAATATAATAAATACAAAACTTATCAACAAAGGTCAAAAATAAAAATAAAATTAGCTGGGGACAGCAAATGTACATTTAACGAAAATTTGCCCATAACCCACATAACCCAATATGTTTTAAAAATGTCAGGCCGTTTGGAGAACAATATTTATAAATATATTATATTATATTATAAATACAAAAGTATTAAATAGTTTCTCAACTTAAAATTTGTATAGAGCGCCATCTATGAAACAACAGGGGAAACTGTCAAATGTCACATTTTTACATTTTATAAACACAATTATAAAGGTTAAAAAATCGAAATGTATATTGAAAATTGACAGTTTTTCACAGTGAAAGTAAAGGAAATGTTTTATGAGGACTTTACAGTAGAGTCCGTGCCCGAGTTTAAGTTATAGTTTAGTGCCGGCGAAATTAAAAGGTCAGTACAATGTTCATATAAACTTTTCAAATATTGGCGTTGAGAAACTATTTAATACTTTTGTATTTTTGTATTGAGATAATAAAATAATTTTCACATTAAGTATTATTTTACAAGAAAGGCACTTTATTTTAACGATTGTATGACATTTGACACCTGTCAACTAACTTAAAACTAACTTCAGCCGGTGACTAAAAACCTGTTGCTAACTTCAGCCCGTGACTAAAACGCCGTAAAGCCACAACTTGTCAATGTGTATTTAAAAGGTCACTTAGTGTCATGGAAACATGTACGATAATGGTCGTTTTAAAAGTGGGAGTAGAAAAACTAAATTAAATATGTTGGACACACTAACAGCAATATTTTCAATATTATTAGATTTAATTATTAAATTTGCGTCATCTGCAAAGGAAGTTAAAAAGCTAGATTTAAAGAAACATTAATAAAATATACATTATATTTTAAAACATTTACAAAAAAGTTTTAAAAATGTTGTGCAAAATTATTGTATAAATATAAAAAGTGTGACATCTAAATGTTGTAAAAACATTTTAGATGCATTTAAATGATAATTACTAATATTTCTGAAATATTTAAGTTATTTAGCAAAAATATTCATTCAATATTTTAAATATATTTTTGTCATGTGGGAACCAGAATTAATTTTTAACACAAAACTATTTTTAAATTTTACCTGCTTTATTTGAGTTTAAAGAAAAGTGAAAAACCTTTTTGTTTGAAAAGATTTCATAAAAATTAAAAACATGAGTGGGTGTCTTAAAAAGTTCTTCTAGCGTGTAGGTATTTCAATCATTTTGTTTCTTCTCATTTCTCATGTTGCATGACAGTAAATTATTGTAAATAAAGCCTGCTTTTTAAAACCATTCGATGCATTATTTTCTTAAATTCGACTTACGGTAACATAGTTGGCGTTAATGTAATCGCTGTTCGCGTATCCTTCGATCGTGTTCAGGAAAACACGCGTCTCCGGCAACGGGATCACGTTGGCGTAGCGGTTCTTGGTCTCGCAGCCTTCTGGGAGCTCAGAGGTGCGGGCGCCAATCTGCGGGATCTCCTCGAACTCCGCCTTGATGTCTTCCAAGTTGGACGAGAATTTCGCCAGGGCTGGGAAGTTCAGGGGATGCGTTACTGCAGTCTGTAAGAAGAAAATTGGGTTGATATAGACATTGTACACTGAAAAGTCAACTTGCTTTAAAATAAGAATTTATATTTCAACTAAAAATATTTAACTTTCATCAGTCACGTTCGAGAGCTCGTCAAAGTTAGTCGCATCTTGCATCTTGCCGTCGCGCTCTTGAAACTTACAAACAGCAACGCTCGCGACTCGCGTGCGGGTGAGCTCTTGAAACGTAAAAGTTTAAAGTTGAAACCAACAATAATTTAAAAAAAAGGGGTGCGAACTGATAAGTGAAACAAACATTTTCATGGAGTGCAAGCTAAAATGGTGTAACGGTCATTGAGGAGTGGAGTGTTGGGTGATATGAATGACTTGGGTGCTTGGAGGCTTTTCACTGGACGGACGGGGGAGGTCGGAGAAGAGGGGAGGTGGCCATCCGCAAGGGGAAAAATCTGATAAGTTTTACTTTAAGAGTATGCATGACCTGATACAAATCTGCAATATAAATACATATATATATAGATCCCAGCAAGCATTTTCCGTTATTTGTCACCATTAACATTGCCCGTATTCATTTCATTAAACATAACATTTATTTTACTTGAAAATGTTAAAATGACTTTAAAATATGATTATGTTAAGAACATATTTTACTCTTTAAACAATTGTTTTGTTTTTAATTACTATCATTGCAAAATTGTATTAAAAAGTGTTAAAAATTCTTACACGGGCAATGTTAGTGGTGATAGGTATCGTTAAAGTGTTTATTGGGATATCTTTAAAACCTAAGAAGGGCACGCAGCGTGGGGCAATAAGTCTGTCAACAGCAAATGCGTAAGGCGGTCCCAATCGAGCCGGAAAATAAACACTGGACTGACAGAGTAAACTAACATTGAACAAAATTCTAACACATTAAAAAAAAGGGCCTAATAGCCAAACTCGAGTTTGTAAACATTAGACAACAGAATAATCGCGCTTGTGATTTGTTTGACTAGTGAATAAATGCAATGCTTTGGAATTTGATAAACAAAGACGGAACTCTACCACAAAACGTGCTTGGGACAAAAATTATTAAAAACAACTGACACACTTTACCAAGGGCAGGAACTATCTGACCAGGACACGGACAATGACAATAACGAACAAGACAAAGACATCGACTAAGAAACTACACCCCTGCAGCGAAATAACAACTCCCCAACTCCAAATAGTGATCCCAAATGTTTGGAGTAATACTAATCGACTGGTCTAGGGGGATTCCGCGTCGTACTTAGTTTTAAGTCGGCGTAATTGTCCCCCAAAAACCAACTCCCTCCCGTCCCTCATCCATACCCACCGAGCGTATAGCATAGGCTCGGCGAACCCGGGAATGGCTATTATAACTATTCGCCTCTCGCTCTCGAGCCCCAAATAGGGGACAGTACGTAACGCAATGGACATTCGCACCCAGCAAACACGGGTGAAGCCGTGCAGTTGCTGGGGAAGAACAAAAATCGGCGTAAGTAAACATAGGCCTGTACGGGGTTCGAGAGTCAAGAGGAAATGGGGCTGGTTATACGTCTCTTATACTCATACTCATACTCAACTAAAAATATTTAACTTTAAATAAGAATTTTGTAATTTTGAAAACATTTCTTGTTTTAATCCAAATATTAAATATTCTTGAAGGAAATCTTGATACAATGGGGTAGTTAAATTTTTTCTGACCTATACTTTTTATGGTTTTATTCAAGGCGTTTTGTGAAATCGGAATTTCAATTACCGTTTTCGAGATATTTACAAAAAAAATCTCCTAATTACGTCACTAGGCTATTGACAACGTTGCCAGCTTTTTCTATGGTTGCCAGTGTGTTTAGTTTAAGATTCTTACGATAGATGGCGCCACGTTATAATATTTTAGTTTTAAAACCACTTGATCTATAATTTTAGTTGAGTAGAAGAAGAAGAATTGATTTTTTGACGTTTCTTTTTTTCGGGTTATGTTTTTTTTAAATTTAGATTATTGAAAATCAATGTTATTGTTATGTTATTTGTAATTGATATTAGATAAGTGATTTATTAATAACGGACTCCAAAGCAGAGGAATCTTGTGGAATGGTTGGTTACATTGAACATTGGAGCTTTTAAACAAATAAAGTTAGTACCTATAATAATAATCATATTTTGTCGTAAATGCATTTCATTAGTATAATGCCTAGTTCTTTATATTCATTTAGATATATCTTGGACTCTAAAATATCAAACAGTAATATGATACCTCGTAATAAGGAAAGATAGGTACTTAATGAATTTGGTGACCATCTTTCACTCAACTGACAGTGACAGTATTTGTACTTAACCTCTTCGGGTATTTTCGGACATAACCGAATGAAATCATTAACAAGACAACTTGACAACAGGGTAATTTTCAACCAATAGAAATCTTGTTGTTGTTATTGGTCACATGGCGAGGTTTGTGACGTCATAAAAATTTATATTTCTTGTAAATATCTCGAAAACGGTAAACTCAATTGAAATTCTGATTTCACAGAAATGTTTAATATTACAAAACGCCTTGAATAAAACCATAAAAAGTATAGGTCAGAAAAAATTTAACTACCCCATTGTTTATATTTTTTTATATCAAGAATAAGATATTCTTATTTTTTTATTTGTTTAATTTTTTTATATTAAGAATTAGATGATCTTAAATATTTTTATTCATTTTAATAATCTTAAATATTTTTATTCGTTTTAATAAACAGGTTTAAGAGTTCTGGATCACCCAAAGTCTCCGTTTTAGTTTTTTTACAAAAATAATAAATTTGGTCAAAAATGGCGAATGCACTAAAGGGCGATTACATGATTACTAACGGGACTAACAGAAAGAGAACAAAATGTTTTATGAATATTTTTGAAGATATGTTGTTCCTATAACAATAATTTTATGATAGTTATTATTACTTAATTTTATTGCTGAGAACTATCATAAATTATTATTATAAAAACACACCTTCAACAATTTTTATAAAACATTTTGTTCTTTTTCTGATGGACTCGTTATAACTAAGTATAGTAATTATGGAATCTCCATAGCCAATTTTTTAACAATTTTTTTAAAAGGTATTTAGTTGTTAAAAACATTTTTTTGGAAAGATCATAAGATTTAAAAAAAATTCACCAAAAATGGTAATGGTAATGGGCTAATATTATATACCAGGGGGAGAAAGCACATATTATCGCCGAGCATAATATGCATATACATATATTATATGTATATATTTCACTGCCGAGGCAGTAGAACTAATTAGCGCCGTGTTTTATATATCTACCTACTATTTTTTAAGCATTTAATTAAATATTATAATTATTATTAATAATTATGAAATAACTATTTATGTATGTACCTACTTGTGCGCGAAATTTTGGACATGAAGTGCATACAAATTTGTTTTTACAATTATTATATTTTTATTCGTTTTATCAAAATGAAATTAATATTTGTGAGAAAAGCTTCTGGGTCTGTTAAAAAAGTTAATTCTTTCTGAATTTTTATAAAATGCAAATGTTGACCCATACAGCTATTATGAATGTAGCAAATTTTGCAATTGCAAACCTGTTGCCAGAAAAATCAAAATTACAGATTAAAGATTGGTGTTCAATGAGCATTGCTCATACCTATAAGTTTTATATTTTATTTGACATTAATGGTTGGTTAAAAACTCCTAATAATTTCATTTATTTTAAAATTGCAATTTATATAAACTTTAAACATATGTTTAAAGTTTTTTAAATTAAGAATTAAATATTTTAAAATTACTCATAAGTAATTATTTTAATTATTAAAAAATAAAAAAATCCCAATATAGAAAATTTAACGTGCGCAGTAAATTACTGCCAGTAATACTTGACAAAAGCCTACTTTAAATGTATTAAAAACAGGCTTCTATCAAGTATTACAGCGTATGGTATTTTGTTACATCATTATAAAATTTATAAATTTAAAGCAGGCTTCTGTCAAACCGCGGATGTTATTTAATACATATCCCATATGGTCTAGTGGCTAGGATACCTGGCTTTCACCCAGGAGGCTCGGGTTCGATTCCCGGTATGGGAAAAACTTTTTAATTAAAAAAAAATTGTTTTTAAAGCATAATTATAAAAAAACAAATTTTTTCCTATTCTTAATTGAAAAGAAATAATCGTGCAAAATTATTTATACAGGGTGTCCCACAATTAGTGCGACAAAATGAAGATGTATTATCTAAAGACCCCCAGGAATTCCAGAAATTTTTTTAAAAAATTCTTTCTTCATTATTTAATAAGATACAGGGGAGTCATATTTTCTTTATAAGGCAACATTGCCTCATAACAAAGTAATAGTTTAATTCTTAATCATCATAACAACAAACAACAATGTTAGAAAATGCCAAATTTAAATGTCAAAATTTGTTACTTTAAGTTATAGGTTATTTATTTTACGTCATACTGGATAGAAAAGTCCCTGTCTGACGTAAAATAAATAACTAACTCAGTGGCGGCTGGTGGATTTTGTGTATACCAATATCTCAGTTATTAGACATGGGACCCACACCAAATTTTTAATAGTTTATAATGACATAAAATAAACAAGTTCGGCGTAAACAGAATTTAAATTGAAGTTTGCGAAAAAAGTTAATTTTTCCTGTCGCCTCACCCGCCTCCAGGCCCCCTATTTGAGATAATTCAAATGGAAGTGGTGCAATTTATTATCTACTATAATTTATCGACACTGGTATACATAAAATCCACCAGCCTCAAATTTTGACATTTAAATTTGGCATTTTCTAACATTGTTGTTTGTTGTCATGATGATTAAGAATTAAACTATTACTTTGTTATGAGGCAATGTTGCCATATAAAGAAAATATGACTCCCCCCCCTGTATCTTATTAAATAATGAAGAAAGAATTTTTTAAACAATTTTCTGGAATTCCTGGGGTCTTTAGATAATACACCTTCATTTTGTCGCACTAATTGTGGGACACCCTGTATTATACCTACATATGCAATACGCAGATATAAAAAACAAGTAAATAATAATAAATTTCTTTATTAAATATTACCATTTAGATATTTAAAAAAACGTTAAGTTATTAATTAAAATTTGAAAAGCACATTTTATTGAATGTTAATTAATACAGGTAATCTTTCAAGGCTATCAACTAATTTTATAATAACAATAATATACCACGTAATATAAAAAAAAATATATTTTAAAATCTCACATTTAAAAGCAATATTTTGTATTTTAATTAAAAAAAAGGGAAGTTTCCCCTATTTCCCCCTGGATTCGCCAATGTTATGAATGTCTGTTTTGCTTAGATAATTGTATCTATTAGAAAAAGAGCAACTTTCCACCACCTAAAGTAAATGGTAATCATATCCCAAGTAGCATTATATTGACGAAAACTGATCACCACTTCAAATGAGTGGCAATAACGTTTAAATAACTAAATCTACCACGATACAGTTAAAATATCTCCATATTATATTAGCATAGGTGTACCTAATCATGTGATTTGCACCAGCAGAATATACTTTATAGCTTTATAACTTTTTGGTGTATTAGTCTGGTATCTGAAATGTTATGACCACTTTTAACACCACCTTAAAGTTGTCTAAACTTTAGAGTGGATTATGAATAGTAACTGTAACCAAATCACATCACTTAAGTATTACTTTAAAGTGGTAGTAGTAGTAAAGTGGGTATATCAGTTTTGGCAACGTTTTCGGAAGTTTTCCCAAACCTTGAATGTGGCAAAACTTGATTATATAATTGCGGTGGTGATTGCCACGTTCTTGCTAAAGGCTGTAAAGTGATTTTACGTTTCGTATAAAATTACCACTTTAAAGTTCCCTTCTTCAAAAGCAGATGTTTTCAAATAATCGCCATTGTAGGGAAATAAATGTGTAGTTTTAAACAAATAATTCTGGTTATTACCGCACCAAATTTAACATGTTAATATACATTTGTTCCAGGTGACCAGAAATAATTAAAAATATATTTTAGGCCATAAATAATTTTCATATCCGCTAAGTTTATAGATTTTTTTATTTTTTTTATTACCACATATTTAAACTTTCAACTTGAAATTTTCAAGCTATGAAACCCATGTTTAACAGTAAAATTTAATTTGTGTTAATTTTATGTCTTTGGATTATTTTAATTCCAGTTATTATTTGCAAGTTGTACTCTTACAATATTATAATTCAGTGTTAGTTTAATATCCAGTCAGAGAAAGCAAAGATAATAAGATAAATAATATGCTGGAAAGAGACGGGGATAGAAAGTAAAGATTAGTAAAGTTATGATTAAGTTTTGGCCACTATACCTCCACGTTACTGACCCTAAAAAAGTGTTCCCCATTTTAGTCACTTCCACGTAATAGAACCGTTTCTACCACGTGGCAGAGATTTTGGCAATATACTTTACAGTTCCAAGTATAAGTGGCCAACACGTTTTAACCACTATAAATGCTACTTGGGCTAATCATTAAAAAAATACTTACAGGATCATCAAAAGCAGGATTTCCATAGGACCTTTTGGAAGCTCTGGCTGCAGCTTTCCTCCTTACGCTGTTATAAACTGACACGTTATCCATGCTGTAATCATCCAAACTAACCGGTGTACATCTTTGACCATAATTAAATTTTTTCTGTCTCTTTCTCATTATAATCTATAAAAAATATTTATTATTTAATAATACATTCTTATTATGTGGGTCGTTTTCAAAAAACACCCGCCTTCCGCTGTCCGTAAGTTTGAATTCCAATAACTTTGTTAAAAATTATCGGATCTTATTGATTTAACAACCAAGTAAAAGCCTAACAAGTCCTTAGTAAACTCTTTCAGAAAATGTTTGTTTAGTTATTTCAGAATAATTTTTTTTAAATTTTGAAACACACATTTTCGAATGTCCCATTAGCGTTTTATAAAACTTACATACATGTTTTTTTTTAAATATTGAATAATCAGAACTTTGTGTTGCTTTATAGCAATCCATAACATCCTTAGTTAATACAGTAAACAATTTATACAAAAAATAATTAATTTTAATATACTTTTTTTAAATTTGACTCATGTCCCAGACATTTTTTCCGTTGCGTTACGTCCGTCGCGTTACCGATAGAATATTAAAAAAACATATATATGGCAACTTTTTTGGTACTCGCATGATCCACAAATGATGTTCGGACGTACACATTATCCGGCTGAATTTATTTATTCAATCAGGAAGAAGATATCGGTTGAAACAGGTGCGGGTAACGCGAATGTAATAATTGTTTGTCCGCTAAGTTACTCAAAAAAAAAAAAATTAGGTAAGAAAAAATACTATTTTTCATGTTTATGTTTATTTTAGGGCACTACAGCTCATTGAGAGTAATTAATGACTGTAATGTCTTATTATTATTTTTTAAATATGGTTTTACAAAACTTTGTCCACTGCGTTACCGAGTCCACTATGTTACCTTATGGTAACGCAATGAAATTTAGGGTAACGCAATAGAATTTTTCGACAACAAAGTGGATATTTACCGTCGCTTTTATTAAAAGTACTTTATGATTAACCAATTTAAAATTATTTGTCATTACAACTCATGATATAGATTACCACCCTATATAGTTTCTTTTTTACGTTATCTGATTAAGTCCTTTGTGTACCCCTGTCCGTTGTGATACCAATGTCTATTTCGTTACTTTTTTTAGTTTTTGTTAAAAAAATACTTAAAATGATTTTTATACACTATCACTTGGTAATACGTGTTTATAAATAATTTATTATTAATAATTATTAGAGTTTAATTCACTAATACAGTGACTAAAAGAAAATATTAATGGTATTGTTTTTTTAACAAAGAATCGGAATGGTTTCTTTTAAAAAGTAACTTAACGAACATACATATTTAAAAAAAAAGCATACAATTTTTAATAAAAAATAAAATAAAAAATTGGAGTCAAAAGTTTGTGATTTTATTTCAAATTATAACAACTTCTTTTATTGAATTAAATTTTGGATTTCAAATTGGTAACACAGTGGAGATATATAAAGCTAGCTAAACACATTTTTCTGAAAAAAACGTAAAAAAAATAAAAAGTGCACTGCCTGTCTTAAATGTAAGTAAACAAAACTCTAAACATTTATAAAAATACAACCAAAAGTCAATTTAAGCAAAAAAATATTTTGATCTTCATTTTCCTGAAAGCGGGTGTTTCTTGAAAATGACCCACATAGTAAATATTCACTAGGTATATAAAATCTTGACTCACCAGTAAACCTGCCAGTAGTATTAAACAAATAGCACCGACGGATGAAATAACGATCGCTGCAATTGTGCCTCTGTTATCCTCAGGATCCCCAATGCTCGATTCCGTGGAATTTGTAGTTTCATCTTCCACTGTAGCGTTGGAAAAATTCCTATTTTCCGGTTCTACAATATCAGGAGTCGGGTAGTTGTAACTGGGATTTATTACTTCAGGAGTGGCCGTATCGTTTTCTATGTGATATATTATAATTTCTGTGGTTGATGTGGTTCCTTTTTCACCTTCTGCAGTTATACCAGTTTTAATTACAGTTATTTTTTCTGTAGTTGTTTGTGGAACTGTGGTTATTTCTGGAATCATTGTAGTTTTTACAGGTATCATGGTTGTAGTACTGGTAGCACTTGTAGTTATGGTTTCCATTACACTTTGTATTTCCTTTGCTGATTTTGTGGTGTATTCAACATTTATTTCAGTTACATTATTAATCATGTTACCTGTTTCTGTCGTAATGTTTGGAATTATTTCTGTAATAGGTATATCAGTTACTGTGGTATTATTAATAATTAATTCTTTATTTTTTTCAATATTTGTAGTTACTTTAGTAGTATCTGTATCTGTAGTGCTTACATTATCTGTGGTAATGTTTGGAATTATTTCGGTAATAGCTATATCAGTTACTGTGGTATTATTAATATTTAATTCTTTATTTCTTCCAATATCTGTAGTTACTTTAGTGATAGTTATATCAGTGACACTGGCATTATTTAAATTTATCTCAGTTACTGATATATCAGTTATTGCAGCTTCTGTAGTTGATACATTTTCTGTTGTCGCATTTTCCACTGTGGTCCCTTTTTCCGTAGTTTTAACATTCTCTGTAGTAGTTTCAGTTGTAGTGTTGATTTCAGTCGTTATATCAATACTTTCAATGGCCTCTGTAGTATTTTCAGTCTTTCCTGTAGTCGAATCCGATGGTGTATCATTCAGTATTCTCGTAGTCTCCAAAATATCTGTAGTTGTGGATTCTGTTGAATCTAAAGAATCGGTTGTAGTGATTACAACCGTGGAATCTTGGATCATTTTAGCGTTTGGTTTAGGTTTTTTTGGACCTATAGTTTCATTGTTGTCTGTGACTACAGAGTCTGTAGTCTTTACTTCCTTTGTTGTTTCTCCAGGTATTGTGGTACTTTCGGAAGTTGTAGTTTCTTTCGTAGTGTTTTTATTATTATCAATTGGCACCCTTACTTCTGTGATTACAGATTCTGTTACAGTCTGATCTTCTTCCACTTGGTTTTCTTGTTCATTGGACTTATTTTGTTCGGTAATTTTGTTTCTGATTGTTGTTCTCTGAGGGCTGACTGTTGGAGTTATAGCTTGTGTCGTATGGGCAAACTTAATGGAGCCTCTCTTTGTTATAGCTATGGGTGCAGAGGTTGTTTTGTGTTCATCTTCTTCAGCTGTTATGGTGCTTGGAAAAAGATTTGTTTTTTTAATGGAATCTGTTTCTATTTTGTTATTTAATATGTAACTTATATTTCTGTTGCTTGGTGGTTTTGTCAGGGTTTCTGTTTTTCTCGTGGTTTCTGTCGTTATTTCAGGGCTGAATTCTTTTGAAACGGCGTTTGTTTCTTTGCTGTTTTCTTTAGTCGATTGTTGGTTTATTTTGTTCAATTTTTCATTGGGCTCGGTTATATCTGTATGGTTATAAGATGATTCAAATACTAATTTGGTACCCTCTTCAACTACTGTATCTTTATGACTGTGGCCTTTGGTACTGTTATTTTTGTCAATGACGTTTTTTATTTTTTCATATGATATATCAGAGTCACTTTTATTGCTTTTTGATTTTTCAAGTAATTTTTCCAAATTGATGGTTTCTTTGCCTTCTTCATAATCTGTATCTAAATGCTCCAACTTCTGATCAATACTAGCTACTGTTTCCTTGTATTTACTGTCAAAATAATCTGATTTGGGGGTGGTTAACTCCAAGGTAAACTTATAATTTGATTCAGTTTCATGGTCATAATCAGGGTCGATATATTTCTCTGTATCAGCAGAAATTGGTAGCGTAAACACGTTATTTATGTCATGAAACTCAGGCGACACATATTTATCTACATCCACATCTATAGATCTACCATTACTTTCTCTTTCTGTATTTTCTTCTTCTTTCGTGTAATTTTTTATAACATTCTCAACATGGGTTGGACTCGGTGTAACCGTCTTTCTGTAAGACTCGGATTTTTCCAATTTCACAGTAGTCAAATTTTTAGGAACGTTTTCTAAATCGTTTAAGGTTACTTTCCGTTCCGTATGAGTATCGTTTGTATTTACATTAGTTTTTTCAGTCTTTGGTTTGCTTTCCTTAACGTTTATTTTTCTACCGAATTGCAGATCCGGTAGATTCGTTCCCGTCGGGTCTACATTTTGCAGGGTGGTGGATATTTTTTCCTTAGTTTCTCGAGCAATTCTTATGTGAGCCCCATTGGAGATCGTGCATATTTGAAATGTCAGGAAAATACCTAAAAAATAAAAAAAAATAGGTTTAGTTAAAAAAGTTTAATGTTACAATTTAGGATTTAAACGATTTGATGACCTTGAAAGATCGTGACGATAAGTTTGTAGCATGGTTTCTAGGTTATGTTTAATATTCTTTAAGTATTTAAATCAAGGAAAATTACATACTAGAGGTGCAAATATTTAATTTTAAAAATATTTTTTTGAACTTTATATTAAAATACGCTGTCAGTACCAAATCAACACTGAGTCTCGACTCGAGACGTAATAGCTTCTGAACTATAAACAATTATACAGTGCATAGTCTAATCTAAAAGTTTAAAAGCGCGAAGTAAAGTGCCACCCACCTGAACAGGAAGAAACCAATTACAAGGGGACAAGGAGCCATATTCAGATAAGTTTTTAATATTTGCACTTCGCTATTTGCATATATAAGAATTCACCGAGCCTACGGGTGTGTTTATACCTTCCCAAGTGACAAATCCGTAGAAATCAACAAGAAAAAATTAAAAAGTTGAACAGAGTTAACGAACCCCTACATTAAATAGACCAAAGATACCGAATGCACAGCCTGTGCCAGAGCTGTCAGACATCAGAAAGCTTAAGTCTTTTTTTTAACTTAAGTCATTTTTGTGACTTAAGTCATTTGATTTAAGTCTCTTTTTTTTGGACGACTTGAGACTTAAGACTTAAGTCATTTTCAAAATGATTTGTATTATTAAGCTTTTTCTACATTTGCGTAAGGACTTAAGTCTTTTTAAAATGACTTAAAACAAAAAAATGACTTAAGTCTTTTTAAAATGACTTAAGTCTAAAAATGATTTAAATCTTTTTAAAATGACTTAAGTCTAAAAATGATTTAAATCTTTTTAAAATGACTTAAGTCAAAATAATGATTTAATTCTTTTTAAAATGACAAAATAGATAAGAATTAAATTCTTAAAAAAATAAATAAATAATGATTTAATAATTTTTTGGTGTGATTATGGATAAAATATTTTTTACTCAATTTTTTTTAATGTCCACAAAACAAATAATTACGGTCTTGAAGCTTCACTAGAATAAGTAAACATTTTTTTAAATTGCAAAAAAACCTTAACTGATGATTTCAAATCGGTTAGCTTGCTGATTTATTGGAATAGTCGAAAAGTCGAAGAAAAATTAAAAACTGTAAAATGTTTCGATAATTATTTTTGAAACACTTTGATGGTGCCGTTAAATTTTATTGGCCATTTTGGTAGAACTTTTCAGAAAATGACTTTGGATTTTAGAAAAAAATATATACAAGGTGTTTTTAGTGGGAAAAAAATAAAAAAAAATTTGAGGTCCGGTCCTGATTTTTTTTTTGAATGTCCGATACAGCGCTGTGTAGGTACTTTATACTTAAGTATGTATATAAAATTTTATGCGATTCTATTGATCCATTCCCAAGATATGATTTTTCAAAATTTTCGACAAAATACATAAATCACCCTGTAACTCTTAAACGAAGGACCTCCGAATTTTTTCAAAGCCAGATTCGGATTCACCTCTGAAAACTACACCAACCCTTAAGCTATGTCGGTTTCCTCATGCAACACCATGTATAGAGGCTTAAATTGTTACAGTGTAACAATGTTACACGCTTGAAAAAATTGACATAATCAAATTAAAGCTAGTCCGTCCCTGGCGAACTAAATACGCCAAAGGTGTTTAAAAGTTAACTATAGTTATAACTAGAGATGGGAATCGGAAAGTTTCCATTTTAAGGAAACTTTCCGTTTTGGAAAGTTTCCAATTGGGAATTTATTTTCATTTTGAAAGTTTCTTTTAAGCTACCGGAAACATTCCTTGGAAACATTCCTTGAAAACTTTCCTTGTTTTTTTCATTTAAATGTCAATTGTTTAACCGCTGATTTTCGTTAAGGCCATAATACAAGGCCAAGAAACTTTGAATAAAATTTAATGTGTATTAATTTAAAGCAGAAGAAGTATAAATAATGTAAGTTATGTTACATAACCTCAATGAAGCCAGCATCATCACAAAAAACTTAAAAAAAGGTAAACAAAATAAAAACAATAAACAAAGTTAAAATCATTCTTACATTTTAGTTGTTTATTTATAGGCATAGCATAATGAAAAGAGAAAAATCTAGTGTTTGGAATTATTTTTTACTTTACTTTTTACTTTTCAATATTCCTAGTTACTTTGTCCCTTTTAATTTTTTTACGTAATATCTAGGATTTACTAGCAGTGAATTTCTAATAGTAAACATTTTATTTTTATTTTGTAGGTTTCAGTATACAATAGGAATATTCCAAAGTAAAAGATACTAAAAATAGTATTGCAGTTACATTCTTATAAACATTTTTTTATTTTTTTCTTAAAAAAATTTGACAAAAAGTTAATGCAAATCCCTGGCATAAAAAAATATTTTCGCAATAAAAATTTTTTTTTGAAACTTTCGGAAAATTTCGGGAATTTTCGATGGAAAGTTTCCGGGAATTTTCGTCAAATGGGAATTTTCCCATCTCTGGTTATAACTAGTATTTTTTATATTAAAAAATTATTAAGTTACTTTAAAAGTTATTAAACAATTTTCACATAAGTTTTAAATAAGCAAACTGTAATTTATGGATAGCACCCAGGACCGGATCAAACCGGATCCAATTTTTCATGGTACTAACACACCAAGGTACTAACTTTCTGATCATGACAAAATTTGAGCTCCGGCTCGTGGATGTCCTAAACAAAATCATTTTTTAAAAATTACAAAGTTTGGTTACATATATAATAAATATGTTTTCACTAAAAAATCGTTTTATTCACCTAAAATAAGTAATAAAAAATAGCATATACTTTAATGATAATTAAAAAAATAATATTTAAAAAAGTACCTTTTTTACTGGTTACTTGAAATCACTTCAAGAAAGTTCAAATTTGACCTTCTCTACTAAATCAGTTATGAAACTTAAGAAATTTGTTATATGTTTTTAACATACCTTTATTAGTTTACTAATGAAAAAAAATTAAATTTACTCAAATATATTAATGTAGATTTTGTAGGTTTTGGCCAGCTTTTTGGGCATTTCCAACACGGTGTGCCAGTACAATACAATAATTGACTAATTAAGTGATCAACTTTTTGTTATGCACCTATTTTAAAAATAAATTTTATTAAAAGTCTTGTCAAAGAGTATCTATTAGATATATACACTTTGATCTTGTTTTGAATCTCTCAAAATGAGTAAGGTATTTGTTTTTTTTTACTTAAATCTTTTTTTTTCGACTTAAATCTATAAAACGACTTAAATCTAAAAACGACTTAAGTATTTTTAGGGACTTAAGTCCCTAAAAATGACTTAAGTCTTTTTCTAGATTTAAGTCGTTATATATTTGATTTAAGTCATTTTTAATAAGACTTAAGGCTTAAAAAAAAAGACTTAAGTCTTTTTGAAAGGCTTAAGACTTAAATCTTTTCTGTTTTATAGAAAAAATGACTTAAGACTTAAGTCATTTTTATTTCAAAAAAGACTTACGAGTTATGACTTAAGTCTTTTTAGAAGTGACTTGTGACAGCTCTGTGCACAGGCAGTATAGGACGTGACAGGTAGTACTTAATAAACACAAAAATCTTCTGTAAGTAATCACACCATTTTCTAATCTTTACCTTAATAAACAAACTAGGAGACCTTCTCGAGTATAAAAAAACACAGAAGTAAAAATACCTAAATACAAATGCGATTTCTTAATTGTTAAATATGAAAAGAAAACGTAAACACAATTTCTACCACAACAAGAAAACAACGAATATTCGTTTTCAAAAAATAGTTCCTACTACTTAATAGTTTAATTAATAATAATTATAATTATAGGGATTGCTTAGGTGAGTAAACAAAAACTATTCTAAAAAAACTTTAAACCAAACCCAATAATGACTGTTGCATTCGGTAAAATTTGTTTAACCATTAGCAACTGCCTTTCCGCTGGGACAAAGAGTCAATAATTCATAACGAGTCATTTTAAGTATTTCTAAGAGTGTGGGGAAAGTAAAAACAACACCCCTTTGGGGCAAACAACTGCGTGCAGCAGATTCCGAATTCCAGCCGTCCAGACAGGGACCCGGATGAAATACAAGACCAGCAAGGATGTCCAACTAACGTACTAATAACCCATGCCTCATTCATGATGAATGGGGTCATTACTAATACCCTGGTTGAGGGGGAGTTCGGATTGTACTTAGTTTTGGGTCAGTTCAAGGCCCCCAAAAACCAAACCAAGATTACGTGCCGGGGTGAAAATTCGGATCTACCAAACACAGGTAAAGCTGTGCAGTGGCGGGATACGTATAGAACCGAAAGGGGGTAAAATAACCCATACGTTCTTATACTCATACTCATTTATATTAAAATACGCTGTTCATAGTTTTATAACAAGTAAAAAGACTATTCCTGTCAATTTGGTTATGTTCGGATTTTTATTTTTGCTAATTGTACCTACCAATATACCATTTATATTATAACATTGTGACGTCAAGCTACCGAAAGAATTTTTAAAGTAATTTTTAAAGAAAAATGAATAGCAAAAATTTTCCTTAAATGTACATTTGCTGTCCCCAGCTAATTTTATTTTTATTTTTGACCTTTGTTGATAAGATTTGTATTTATTATATTTAATAACCCCCTTCCTGTTAGGACCCATCGTATTTTTTTTTTAATTACTTTGTGTTTCTATAACAATGGAAAGTTCTTTTATTCGTATATAAAACTTAAATATTTTTCTACAAAGTAGTTTAAACAGAAAAAAATATTAAAGTTGACATTCAAAAATCTTGTCTTTTTCCTAACGTCGTCTTCTATGCCGACTGCTTCGAAATAGAGATAGAGATACTAGCGTTTTATTTCTAGAGGGCATCCAGTTTGATACTTTATTATTATTATTTTTTTATGCATATTTTAAAGATTTTTTTGCGTACACTTTTTGGTGTCTTTAACAAAACGCTACATACAACTCTTGTTTTAGAAG